AGGAAAAGCAGGCATGCAAAAAAGGAAGAAAGACCTTCAGTAGTTGTAAGTCTGGTAAAAGAGCAAATTTTTACTGAATGTAACAATTAGCAATGAAGACATACAAGAAAGTTTTATCTATAGACTATCAGAAAATTTAAAATCATAATCATATAAAAATAATCTATTTCGGCACAATAACAATATTGCTTCCCCTCCTCTTTCAGGTTCACTTAAAATGATGCAAGTTAAGTATATCTTAACTATGATTCTTTGTTGTTTGTAAGAAAATATTTATGAAGGAAGTTTTCCTTGCAAATTTCTATTCCTGAATAAGTGATTTGGGAAAAAAAAAAAACCACAAAACTCTTCAACGATACCACAGACTCCTTACATTTGGAGGACCTTATTCCAATTCTTGTCTCGACAAACAGAAAAGACCCTGTGGTCAGCCCATTGGTTCCATTAAACAAGAACAGATTTATCATGAGTATCGGCATCAGAACACAGAGAGAAAAATCAAAGCAGAACGACGAAGTGGGACAGACACTTTGTACTCCTGATCATGTAAAAGGAGTCTCTGAGCTCTCGCCACCCTGATTAGATGGCACTAAAGACAGGAGATAGCACTATCTGAACACCTGCTCAAAATGCTTTCGAGAAAAATAGTTATACCCAAGCTGCTGCTGTAGGCAGGAGGTTCTTGCCAAGATTACAATCAGCTGCGTGAATGAGCACAGAGACAGATCAGTTTTTGTTAAAACCTGTCAGTGGTACAGGAAAGGAATAAAACTGCCCTTATAATGAAAATGGTCTCATTTGCAGCTCTGTGGTAAGTGCTATTTATCACGATTCCTTGTGCTTGGGCTGCTACTGCAGCTCCTCTGGGATGGCATTAACGTACCGTTTCTCCATGGCTCCTACTTATCTCAAACAGTCTCTGCTACGAACAGGATTTTGACCCCTGGCCTGTGAAATTTCTTGAATTATCTGATAAGGGAGAGTTTCAGCCACGATCACAGCAGGTCCAGGATTCTATATAATAAAATATGGGTCAACTGCACTATACACAGTAGCGTGAAGTATAAGGGTTTTACTAAAACTTCTTTACAGAGACCTATAAAAGTTGAGCATAGCTGAATCATTCAGGAGAAGCACGCTCAGCTCATGCAATCAGAATCATCAAAAGTGATTTCACAGGAAAGGGTATGGGTTTTTTAAAAAGTTATATTTAACTGAGGTCTAGCACCAGGCAAAACCCACAAATATTTAAGAAAGACAGCAGCACATGTTAAAAAACAACAGTAACAATTAGCACACACTAGCTTACATTTTCAAAGCATTTTACAAAAACATGAATTAAACCTCACAACACCCTTGTGAGATAGTTAAGTACTATTAGTCCCATTTTAGAGACAGGGAAACAGGCATGGAGAGAGTATGACTCGCTTACCACCACACATGTCAAATCCAGGAAGAGAACATCAGATTTTCCAGTTTTCTGCCACATGTGGTCTGACCTCTTAAAAGATGCTGGTCTTTAAATGAAATTTGCTTCCTCTCATCCCTTCTAAGACACCTGACCTCATTTCAGTCTGATCTGAAAAGGTATCCACTGAGAGCTATTAATGATAAACAAGTGGAATTAGCAAAGAACATTTTATTATAGACTGTTTAATAAAAGACTTGACATGGCTGCTTCCACAACTGCCAGAGTCAAAGAATATTGCTTCTCATGAGGCATCTGCCACCAGGAAACCCACTGAGGCATATCTGCAATGCTGATACAGCTTTGAATCTGCAAAAAAAGTAAGGTTTCTTTGCCACTTCCAAACAAGGAACCTCTCTCTAGCAGGGAGTCTTCTCTGAGAACTCGTATGAGTACAACTGCACCGAAAGCAAAGAAAGACTTTTATCAGGAGGCTCTCAAAGTGCAGCCAAGGGCACAGATTATCTGTCAGAAAACCTGAAAATGTTCATATATTGTGCTCTGTGTTAAAAGAGATGGTCTGGAGGAAGCAGACATCCTGGGGAGTAGAAAATAACTCCCATAGTCACCTTGAGAAGACAAGGTCCCTTAGCATATCGCTCCTGCACTGAACTAGTCAGTGACATACTAGGATTAAAAATTCCAAACCATGTGAAAATTCAAGTCAACGGATTTAACTCTATAAAACACCAAATGTGGCAGATCTGCTGCTGCCTGTCTGCAAACCCAGGCCCAGATGTCAGTGGGGACAGAGAAATAAAAACAGTCCTTCCACCTTCAGTTACATATGTCCACTAGACGCTACCTAAAGTCCAGGAAGTTAGTTTCACGACAGCTCGATCTGAAGATCCTCCCCATACTTTCGGATCAACTTCATGTGGTTATGATCCACTGACCACTGCTCTGGGAGGTGCTTGGGCTGCATGCTGTCCAAGAAATGCTGCCGCCAGCGTCTCTCCAGCTGCATAAGGGAGCGCAGGCCTCCTTTAGCAAAACACTGCACCACCTTCAGTCCATGTGGCATGTAGCTCTCATTGCAGATCCTGCCAGGACACAAGCAGAATTTATTTTGACACAAGCCCACTGTCAGACTCCAGACCTGTCTCCAACGAGCAGCAAGACACTGAAGATACTTTCAGCTGCAGAGTTTAATTACAGACACATGGTAAGTTAACCAAGAGGGAGAGTTTTAAGCTTTGCTTCAATGCCAGACTGCTTTCTGGAACACAGTTACACTGGGAAGCTGTTTCCTTTGAACTGAGAAAGTGTTCCTCTTTTATAGCAATACTAAACAAAGCTCTCAAGGTCTATTACAAGCTCCTCAGGAGACAGACTGCAAATTTCTCAAGGCAGGCACCATGAGACACTCCAGAGCCCTGATCCTGCCACTGAATTCCCTGCCTGGATATACAGTTATAACATTGGCACATTACAAACAACAGTGAGCATAACAAGGAGAAAATACTGACTTCATGCAGACAGAGACAATACTAGTTAAGAAAAGATACTTGAGGAGGCTTTGAGAAAGAGGAGGAGAAGAGACTTCTGATATGATTGTCTTTCAGTCTCCCTCCCCAATCTGTCCTTCAAAAGAAGCATGAAATAGTGGAGGGGAAGATGGAGAAC